ATCAAGGGTAGTCAGTTGTCTTTGTCCCAAATCAATGGTTTGTTGCAAGGTCTGTGGTTCAAACATCTGAATAAAGGATTGTAGCTCATCACTTAACCCACTGATGAAACTTGCAATAAAGTAATCCTCAGAATAGCCACCCTGATTGATTAGAAGCATGCACGACTTTAATTCCTCAAATTTGTCAACATATTCAGTGTAAGACCCTGTCTGTTTTAGCTTGTTAAATTCAGCAATTATCTTGGCCTCTCTTAGATCCTCAAACCTGATAGATATGATGTCTATAAATTGAGCCCATGTGATTTCCCCTTACCTGTGACCAAAGTTCTGGAACCATTGGGCTGCTTTACCCTCAAAATGCATAGATGTCATAGCAACTCTCTGGGAATCAGGTATATTAGGGATCAATTTAAAATAAGATTGGCATTTTAAGATCCATGCTCTCGGTTGTGTCCCATCAAATCTGGGGAAGTCTATCTTTGGTACAGGGCTGATGTAAGTTGGGGCTGGGTTTTGGGTAAATCTGACTGTGTGGTCAAATTGGGAGTTAGAGTCTTGTTTTGCAGAGCCAAAAGATAAGTTAGGGTTTCCCAGTATGGATTCATTGGTGGTAGATGATACCTTGCTAAGATTGAGTAGTTGCAGCTGAATAGAAGCCATAGTGTTGGTGATGTGCTCAAATTTGCCACTGAAATCTGTGCTCATTTCCTGTATCTTGTCTTGCAGCTTGAGTTCTGCTGCATCTCTCTTAAGGCTCTCTGTTTGCACCATTTGATCGAGTTTTTTTTTTTTTGGATTCTTGCAGGTCCTTAAACCTTGTTGCCTCTGCCATCATTCACGAGGGATCGAAGAGGCTCTGAGATACCAATTGTAATATTTTTAGTGTTTGTAATATTTTAACTAGTATTTTGCTTCATCAATTTGGATATTTGTAATTTCTGAGTGAAGAAGAATTGGGGGAGAAGAAACAGAGAGAAAGAGGGAGAAAATAGAATAATTCTTTTCTTAATTTCATAACAAACAAACTCACCATATATATATGGTTTACAAACGGGGCCACATGCCCAACAAACTCTCATTTCCCTTCATTCTACTAAAATTACCCAAAAAGGTAAAAAACTCACTACTAATAAAAACTTGACACATGGACGACAGAGATGTGTCTTTTAGATGCTCTTGTAATTCATCCCTCTTCAACACGTGTCGCAAGCTCCTTGTGGGTTAAATCCGGTCCATTCTGAGCTAAAACCCGGCCATCGTCAGCATCGATCTCAATTTTCTTCATTTTTGATTTCTCTGCAAACCCTAATTCGGTCTCCTTTTCTTCAATTCCATTCAAAACCTTCGAATCCATGACAATACCCTCCCCCTCTTGAGATCCTTGTCCCCAAGGATCAAACTTTGGGAACCTTCTCTTCAAAAAGGTCACATCTTCCCACGTAGTTTTGGAACTTCCATCGATTGGCCATTCAACAAGTGCCTGGGAGACATTTCGACCACGTCGCAGAGTCTGGCGATGATCGATGACAGCAACTGGGGCTAGACAAAACTTCCCATCCTCATCAATGGGAGGGAATTCAACCTCGGCTATGGTTGGCGGCGAAAGCTTCTTCTTCAGAAGAGATACATGGAATACAGGATGAA